TGTGGGGGGCCGGACATAGTCCACTGTCCTCCCCCCCCCCCAATTCTTCATGGGCAATTGGCTAGTTCTTATATAATAAAGGGCTTAGTCCATCTGTCCTTAATGCTCTTGAAGCACTCTGATTGGTTAGGGAAACAACCAATCAGTGTGGAGCGCTGCCATGACGGCAGGGGTGGGTTGAGGCCAGTGGTGTTGGCTTTGCCCCTTTGCTCTGTCTCTGCCATCATGGTGGTGCTCCACTGCCTCAGAGGAATAGGGGGGCGAGGCCAATGGCACTGGAGCTGGCAGTGGTATGGGGTGCTGGCAAAGGGAGATGGAGGGAATGGCAGGGCAAGCTTCTCTCCTCCTCCCCTGTTTCTGGGAGGTGGTGGCAGCGTGGGGTACACTGATCCAAAAGGTTGAAAACCCCTAGTCTAAATCATATGTTAGGGTGTAGCAAAATTTGCAAAACAATTTTATAGTGCTGTATGCTGCCAAATGTTATGGGGCCTTAGAGACATTTTACCTGGAGGAACCAGTTTGTCTTTTAAGCAAAATCACTGCTTGTTACACATGTTAATTAGCACTTAGTAATCTGGGTACAACATTACAGTAGCACCATAGTTTTGACCATACAAAGCTGCCGGCCATGGTAATTTTTTTTAGTTTAAACATTATGATTGTAATTTCAAGCTTCTGTTGAAACTTGAGTGCCCTGTGAAATTTCATGTAATCTTCCCATAGGATTGCTAGTTTGCCCACCACATCTTAAATAAATGTTCTCTTTTGTGAGTCACTTCAATTGTTAGACTGGTTTAGCAGGTGTAGTCCTGTTTCAGATACTTTAAATCTTTTTGTGTATTACTGCTGTCATTCCTTTCTTTCTCCAGTTCCTTATTCCTGTGTTGTTTTTTTCCCAAATAGTAGGGACCCCACCATTTTTCATGGATTATGGAAAATATTAGGGCTTTTACTCAGCTGTGTTCTTTGCTTTTTAGCCAGTTCTGTCCTGTACCATATTATTCTCCTTCCTGTCCCTGTTTTCCTCAGAGTTCACTTTTCTTGCCCTTTCATAGTTAAGATTGCCTTTATTACAGGTTATGTATTTGGTAAGCTTTCTGTGCTGCTCTGGTATCATTTTCTTTTGAACGGCTTGACGTACTTCATATTGTACTTCACAGTGTAAGGGAAATCAGACCCCTTATTTCAGTGTGATGTCCTCTTAATAACTGCATCTCTTAGGTTTTGAGGTTTGTAAGAGAAGTAGTTAGCAGGCCTCTGGTGGAATTAGTTTTAGAACTGAGTGCGCATATATTTCACTAAACATATTACATTTTTTTTTAACCCAAATCCAAGGTGTTTTTTAGTTGAAGACACCTTTCCCCACAACAATTAGATTCTGTATATGGAAAATTATGTATATGGAAAATCTTAATTTTGTTATCAATATTGGAGAGTTATCTTAAATTTGCTCCCCCCCACTGCTGTGGTGAGGAAGTAGTGGTGGGAGGTGAGGGGTCAGACCCTCCCCTGTTGATTTTTCTTGTCTGCCCATCCTGTCCCTTGCCTCTTTCTGTGCCTGTCCTCCCTGCTATTTGCATGTTGCCCCCCTCCCATATAACCCCTGTTGCTTATCCCCCATGCCCCTTTTATGTCTGTGCTTGACTCCTGACACCTGCCTCCTGTGCCCTTCCTCCCCTGTGCCTGCACCCCCTCCCTACTCCCCCGCCCGATGCCCCCCCCCACCTGACACAGAGCAGGGAGCAGAAAGCTGAGCAGCAGATTGAGTAAGAAAAAGGGATCAGAGTAGCACTAGGGGAGGATATGGGATGCCTGCCAAAAAGGTTGGCCCCCACTGCTCTATAGAATTCTGCTTTCAATGAGAATTCAGGAGAATTGACACTATAGTTACATGAACTGATACTTTCACTGGTCAATGAAATGAGATCAGTCAGCCAGGTTGGACTGTCAGTTAACTTTGACTGTTAGAGTTGATTAAATTATCATGGACAATACAGAAAAGTGTATATTAAGTAGATTATGTTCTTTGGTTTGCATAATTTTATCATTAAAATTTACTTTCAGAATTCCTTGAGGTTGGCAAGAAACAACCTGCCCTTGATGTTCTTTATGATGTTATGAAAAGTAAAAAACATCGAACATGGCAAAAAATCCACGAGCCGATTATGCTGAAGTACCTGGAGCTCTGTGTGGACCTCCGCAAGAGCCATCTGGCAAAGGAAGGATTGTACCAGTACAAGAATATTTGCCAGCAGGTATGGATTGTGAAACCTTAATTTACCTGTAGAAGCATGGCAGGCATCTGTTACAGATCTTTAAAAAATGTGTAATTGTTTTATATCAAGGCCCTTGATCCTGTGTTTGGGATCTGCCAGTGGGGGAATGGGATTTCTGGGGAATTTAATAATCTGTGTAATAAATAGTATCTTGTGTTAGCACTGTTCCTAAGAGTTTACACTTCAAACATTAGCTGCCTATTTTGGAGGCAGGCCACTTCAGATATCCTACCTTTAATGTAGGTGAACATCAAATCTTTGGAGGATGTTGTTCGAGCCTATTTGAAATTAGCTGAAGAGAAAACTGAAGCTGCAAAGGAAGAATCCCAGCAGATGGTGCTTGATATTGAAGACTTGGATAATATTCAGACTCCAGAGAGGTAGGGGGTCTTTCTTTAAATGTAAACTTTCACTGTAATACCTCTCTTCTGTGTTTGTGCAGTGCCTAGTACAGAGTGTCTCCAGTCTGATAGATTGGGTACTATCACAATACAAGGATCTACTGTGTTTCTAAGTGCTGTGTTTCTGATATATTTTAGATAAAGCTTACTTTAGCTTTTCTGAGAATTATATTTTAAAATAGGTTTTGACTTGGTTTGTACTTTTGGATGTTGGTTATGTTCAAGGGGTTTTGTAGTAAAATCAGTAATACTCTGAAGAGTGCTGCAGAACTGGCAAGTCTGTGGATCTCTTGGAAGTTTTAAATGTGGATTTAATTTTTGCACAGGTAATATTCTAGTATTCTTTTTAATACAACATTATAAAAGTAGCTGATGTATCCAATTTTTAGTAATTAGGCCTGCAGTGACCAGTGGAGTCAGCAAATGAAGAACAGTGAATGAGGACGTTTACGAAAGTTTGTAGGAATTTGGAGGGGGGTGTTATTTAAAGGTAAGGACAAAGAAGAGTGCAATCACCAAGGTATTAATGAAGGAAATGTAGGATGCTGCAGGGACAGTTGTTTGGGACCTAATGAAAACTATTTAGTCCATGGTGTGTCATGTGATGGAACTTGCAGAAGAGATCTGAGGACCTAGAGATGCAGCTGGAGACCATGCAGAATGTAAATGAGAAGTTGACATGAGGGCGCAGAAAGAAAGGAAATGTTAGAAATGTGCTGAAGAAGAGGGCTTGGTTGGCAGACTCCTGGATGAGGAACCTAACCCTTGGAAGTGCATGAGTACTAGAGTGAGGCAAAGAAAGAGACTAGCTAGCAGAAGAGGAACAGAATTGCAGAATCAGCTTGCTGTGCTGGAGAAAAAGAAGAGAAACTCCTGCCTTCTAGCTGTGGTGCGGAAGTGGCAGCAGCATAGATGCAGCTTTCAGCTTCCTAGCCCCAGCACAGCTCTTCACAAGCTGGAAGCTGTGCCCAGGATACAGCTGAGGAGCAGAGGGCTGAGGAAAGAAGCTCTCTGCAGCATTGGCACAGTTGCCAGTTGCATGGCCCTGGTGTGGGCACAGGGAAAGTCTCCAACCACAAATGTACCACACAAGTGACCTGGCCTACGTTGGACCAGAGCTGGGTTGTTCTGGCTCGCAGCCTGAAAAGTTTGCCAGTCATTGATTTAAACTATCCTAGATAAGTGTTCATCTAACCTGCTCTTACAAGCATAGTCTCCCCTGCTGGTCCCTCACAGATGCGCTCCTGGATAATTTTCTCAAAGAGCTTCCCCAGAACCGAGGTAAGACTAGCGGGCCTATAGTTACCCGGGTCCTTCTTCCTCCCCTTTTTGAAAATGGGGACCACATTGGCCCTTTTCCAGTCGTTTGGCACCTGGCCAGAGTACCATGAGTGCTCGTAAGGCCATGCCAGGGGTCCTGCAATGACCTCTGCCAATTCCCTCAACATTCTGGGGTGGAGATCATATGGACCTGCTGACTTGAACACATCCAGCCCCATCAGAAGTTCCCTAACTAGGTCCTCACTGACCCTAGGCCTGGATGTGCCTCTCCTGAGTCTGGTGGGGGGTATGTCTCGGTCCCTGCTCAGAAAAATGGAGGCAAAGAATTTGTTAAAGAGGTCAGCTTTACCATCTGGTGCAACCACCAGATTGCCAAGCGTGTCCTGCAGGGGCCTCACGTTACCCAGTCCTTGGGGCGCAGCAGGACGCAATTCCACTGCGCAGGAAGGCGGGAAAAGGGTCCAAGAAACCTTTATGGCTGAGCGCGGATATCCAGGCTGGCCTGAGGGCAAAGAAAAAAGTGTACTGGTGGTGGAAGCAGGGGGCAGGGATCAAGGAGGAGTATACCTCCCTGACCCAAGCTTGTAGGGATTTGGTAAGGAAGGCTAAAGCAGCACTGGATCTTGGATTAGCTTCTGGGATTAAGGATAACAAAAAGTCCTTCTTCAAGTATATAGGTAGCAAGAAGAAGTCTCGGGGTAACATTGG